CTCGGCCTCACCCGACGGCCCGAGGCCTTGCCCGGGCTGCCCGGCGCCCTCCGCGTCCCCTCTACCGCACACACGCTCCCCAATGACATCCTCGCACCCGCAGTCCCGTTTTGGTGTCTGCTTTTTGGCGCACGCAGGTTGGCACTCGGGCCGAGTGGCGCATCCCCTCTGAATGACAGAATGAACGCTTTCATCTGTCTGGGTTCCTTTCCCTAGAAATACCAGAAATGAAACTGCCGGCCGTTCCCTGCCAGCGTCCCACGGCAGACAGGGGCGCGGGTGCCCCTCCCCCGCCTTCTCCGCCGGCGCCCTCGCTGTCCTCGTCTGCCGTGTGGGCCAGATGAGTGTCCCAGCAGCGAGGTCCCTCGGGAGCACGCTTACCTTGCCGGTCATTTCTGAAACCTCTCCGTGGCCTTTTGAAATAGCGTCGGCATGGTGACCTGGAGCTGTCCCCCGGCCACACACTGCGGCCCCCGCCATGGCTCATGATGCTCCAAGAGAGGGAGCTGAGTGGGGGACCATCGTTCCTCAGAACCACCCTGACCGGGCTGGTGTTTTTCAGAACCCGCTGGTGGGGACGGAGAAGCAAGACTGGTTCATCGGAGACGAGGCTCAGAACAGACGAGACAGACTCAGCATGCTGTGTCCCATCTCTAGGGCCACTGTCACCAGCTGGGACAACATGGAAAAGGTGGCCGCGGCTCCCTTGGGGGAGGGGGCTGCTCCCAGGGCTCCCCGCTGCCTCGGCGCCTGGGAAGGGGTTTGTCCCTCGGGCTCCCACGGTGATTCTCGTCCCTGTAGACACTGCGGGACGTGCCAACCACAGAGGTTCTGACTCAGAGGCCAGGGGCTGAACCGTCTCCACCACTTATTACCTTCGTCATTTTGGACACTTAACTTGGGAACAGTCCCCAGCCAGACCCTGAGGCCCTCTAGACAGCCCATGCTCCCCTTCCGAGGCTCACGGCCAAGTGCACGACCTGTGGCTTGCGCAAAGCCACGCTCCACCGTGGAGCTGCCGCTCCGGGCTGCGATTGCGCGGAGGAAGCCGCCCTGCGGCGGGGACAGCCCTGTCCACGCCTCACCGTGCCCCTCCCACCCCCAGATCTGGCATCACTCCTTCTACCAAGTGCTGCGCATCGCCCCGGAGCAGCACCCCATGATGGTCACAGACCCGCCTTTGAACACGGCGTCCAACAAAGAGAAGGTGTTGCAGGTCAGAGCCGGGGGGCTGGCGGGGCGGGAGCAGGCCGCAGGGAGGGCTCCCTCGGGACCCCACCTTCTCCTTGCTGGGCAGATCAAGACACCAGGGAGCGCCGGCCCTTCTGGCATTTTGGCAGCAGTGACGGCGACCCCAGAGGGCTCGCCAGGAGGTCGCGTTTGGGGGGGAAGGGGGCACGGGCTGGGGGAGGCGTTGACACCTTCCAGCTGCTCTCTGGGGTGGGGCGGATGTTCGTCCCTTGCACAGGAGTGTCCAGGAGCGTAAGTAAGTTGGCCGGGGTGGCGGGGTGAGTGGCTGGCAGACGTGCCCGGATCCACATGGTCTGGCTCCTGTCGTGCGCTGTGTCCTGCCTGGACGTCCAGCCCTGACTTAAATGCCCCCGGATGCCCTCATTAACCTCACCCCGGGCTGCCCCCACCCCTCCCCGCCGCCCACCCGGGAAAGAGCTGGTGGCGTGTGCCGATCGGATTGCGCCAGGGGCACTGGCTGGTGGAGCCCGTGAAGGGTGCAGACCGGTGAAGAAAGGTCGCCCCGGCCCCCGGCCCCCAGACGGCAGAGCCCTCCTCGGGGCTGGAGTGGGGTCCAGCGGGCTGGGGCTGCAGGGGCTGCCACTGGCCGCCTGTGTTTCAGCTACAGCGTCAGGCTTTGCCTAATGAGGGCTTCGATGAGCCAGCGAAGCACGCGGCGAGGCTCCTCCACCTGGCCCAGAGTGCCCGGAGCCCAGCGGTGCCTCCCCAGTGAGCGCTGACCCGTGAGCAGGCCCAGGGCCCACGGCGCCGCCTGCTCATGGAGGATCCTCACGCATCAGCACCGCATGTCAGCGCAGGCAGGAGCTGCCGCCCCACTTAAAACCAAGCCGCGGGGGCCGACGCGCCTCCCCGCCTGGACGGGCCGTCGCAGACGTGGGCCATCGCCATGCTCCGTGAGGACCCAGAGCCGGGACCCAGAGCCCGCAGCCTGGGAACCGCAGTTCCTGCTTCGAGAACACCAAGTGCCCAGTGAGCTGGGGAAAGATGAGAGAGACAAATGTCCCTCACCCCAAGGGAAGGGGCACCCCGGCTGTGTCAGGGTCCTGTGGAGAAACGGAATGTCGGTGACACAGAGATGGAGATTGGTGACAGGGAATTGGCTCATGCGATCACGGAGGCTGGAGCCCCCAGGAGAGCCGAGGGTGTAAGGCCCAGGCCAAAGGCAGGAGGCCGATGTCCCGGTTCAAAGGTCATTTCTTTTCTTGTCGGAGGAGGGTCAGGCCTTTGGTGCTCTCCAGGCCTTCGACTGATGGAACGAGGCCCACCCACCCTGCAGAGGGCTGTCTGCTTCATTCGGTGTCGCCTACTCGGTAACCCCCTCCAGAAACCCCCTCACAGACACGCCCAGAAGAGCAACCGTCCGAATGTCTGGCGCCCGCTCCCACGGCCCGGTCCAGGCGACACATGCCATCGACACGCACGCGAACCTAACTGTGTCAAGGTCCCAGCGGCTCACTCGCGTGGCGGCTTCCGTGAGGGTTCACTGAAGAGATCGCATACAGAGGCGAGCATGCGGTTCAGAAAGAAACACAGGACACTGCAGAGCTCCGGGCTAGGAACGGGGGGTGGTACCCCCAAAGCCGGAACAGCCACGGTGGTTCTGAGCACTGAGAGAGGACTGTCGCCAGGAAGGGCCACCAGGGAGGGCTGGCCACATCAGCGCTCCAGCTCCCCGGCCCCAGTCCCTCGGACCCTTCTGGGGGGCCCGTGGGCAGAAACAGTGGGTCTCCCAGGGGAAGGGGCCTGTGGCTACAGCGCAGGGCAGAGGGTGGCGCAGACAGGTGACGCTTCAGCAGGTGATGGAAGGCAGCCAGCAGCGGGGCCCCCGCCTCACCGGGGCTCCAGGAACGCCACCTCTCGGAGAGTAAGGGCCCCGTAGCGAGCCGTCGGTGGAGCACCCCCCAGCGGCCGGCTCCCAGCGCTGCCCCCTGGAGCAGGCTGAGCAGCGCGGGCTCGTGTCCTCCTGGGCCATGTCTGTATCGTAAGAGGGCCTGGGGTCCACGTGCCAGGAGAGAGGACGACGGGGAGCACCTGCTGGCGCCGGGCACCCCAGCACGCATGGCCTCGGGGGCGACTGGTCCTCTCGTTGTCTCGGTTTCTCATCAGAAGGATGACAAGGTGCCCTCCTGAGGGTCATCGTGGAAACAAAATGAGTTAGTGCCATAAAGCGCCCGTCACGGTGCTTAGTGTCTGCCGCGCGCTGGTTCCTGTTTCCGGTCCCCGGTTTCCCCGTCTGTGAAGTGGGGGTTTGCTTGCAGGAGTCCCAAAGATGCTGCCGGGCTCTGCGACCTCTGACCTTGCTGCAGCCAGGGAGCTGAGGGGGCTCTGCCTTCGTGAACAGGCAGGGGCGGTCCTCGTGTGCGTGCATGCTCTCCCTTCTTTTGGATAAGTCCCCAAGTCCCCACAGATGGCTGCCCCCTGGCAAGACGCTCAGTGAGTAACACGCTCACTGAGTAACATGCTCAGTGAGTAACGCTCAGTAACACACTCAGTGAGTAACATGCTTGTAAGTAACCCACTCAGTGGGTAACACCCTCAGTAACATGCTCTGTGCGTAAAATGCTCAGTGAGTAACACGTTCAGTGAAGGACATGCTTGGTGAGTAACATGCTCGGTGAGTAACACATAGTAACACAGTGAGTAACGCACTCAGTAACATGTAGTAACACACTCAGGAACACACGTAGTAACTCTCAGAGAGTAACACGCTCAGGGAGCAACATGCTCAGTGAGTGACTCTCAGTAACACGCTTAGCGAGTGACACACTCGATGGTGCGCCTGGCTGTGCGTGATGTCACTTTTTTAAAATGCTGCGTGTCCCAGTGTCGAGGTCTTTGCTGGGAGCCGCCTGATTACCCCAGAGCCAGGTACCAGACAACCAGGGACAGCCCTAATGCCCAAGAGCCTGAGAAATGATCCAAATAAGCCAAGCCACAGGGGTCTGAGAAGCCCCACGCTGCCGGCCATCGTGAGTTGCCCCGACTGCTCCAACTTGCTGTCACCCTGTCCCCAGGTGCAACCCCCGCGGCCCTGCCTGGCAGCCTTCTCTGGTTTGGAGCTGCACCTGACAATATCGGCCTCTCATTTCTCCGAGTGACACTCGGGTCCTGCCACCAAAAGGCCCTTTAACCTTATAGACTCAGTGTCGCCACATTGCAGGAGAAGCACCTGCTCACCAGGCACCTCCACAGGGCCTGTTCCAGCAGCCCGTGTCCACGCTGCGCCCTGCCACCTGCTCCCTCACATTCCTGTCCCCTGGTCTCTCATGTGGACAAGGGGGGCCCAATGTCACATACTTCGGGGGGGTCGCCATGGACAGCAAAAGCAAGGCCGCGCATCTCACCCGTCGCTCCTTCCGCCCTGGGCACAGTCGGTGGCCAGGACTCAGCTTGACCGAGCCACGTCCGGACGACGTGTCTGGCAAACAGTTAACACACAGCTGTTGGCTTTTGGTTTCCGTTGCTATGAAACCAGCACGTCCTCCCAAGTCTAAGTGTCGGAATCTCTGCCGAGCACGGAAAGCGGGAAAGGAGTCTGTTCCACGGAACAGAGGCGTAGGGAATTCCGCATCGTCTCCGCCGTGGTGCCCGTAGGGTGCCTGGGAAGGGCGCGAGCCCACCGTACGGCCTGGGGGACAGTTCCGGGGCCGGGCAGGCAGGGCTGGGATGGAGAGCGACAGGCTTCCTGGCCGCCTGTCTGCATCTGCCTGGGGAGCCCAGCGCCTCCCCCAGGAGGTCAGGCCGCCCCTCCTCTGCCTGCCGGCCTGGTGCCAGCGCCTCCGACGCTTCCCCGCAGATCCTGTTCGAGACCTTCAATGTGCCTGCCCTGTATTTAGCCAACCAAGGAGTCCTTTCTCTCTACGCCTCCGGCCTGACCTCTGGTGAGTGGCCCCTCCCCGTGAGCCCTGCCTGCCCCCTCTGGCTGCCCACTCCCTCCCTGCGAATAAGAAAAGAAAAATCCCCCAAACGCGCACCCGCTTTCCTCCCCACCCCCCGACTCACGCTTTTTCTCGACAGCTTTACTGAGGTGTGATCGAGGCATGAAAATGTCCCCGTGACTCAGCTGTGCAGTTAGATAACCGTCCGCACGGTCGAGGTCATAACACGTCTGTCGCCTACGAACGTCTCTCTCCCACCCTGACCGCCCACGTCGCCCCTCCCGTCGGTCCTGATGGACGAGTTTGCATTTTCCGGAATTTTGCCTCAATGCGACCGCGTAGTGTGGACTCACTTTTCCACTCGGCGTGGTTATTGGGAGCATTCGTTCGTGTCGTTTTTAATCGACAGGTCATTTCTCTTTATCACGGAGCCCCGGTCCGCTGTGCGAACGCCCCATGCTTTGGTTGGCTATTCACCCACGAATGGGTGAATGGAATTTGGGGTCTGTCCAGTTCAGGGTCATGATAAAGAAAGCTGCTGTGAACACTTACGTATAAGACTCTGCATGGACACGTGCTTTCGTTTCATTAAGGTAAATTTCCAGAAGGGAAATGGCTGGGTCATATGGCAGGTGTATGCTTAACTTAAAAAAAAAAAAAACGGAAAACACGGACACGTGCTTTCGTTTCATTAAGGTAAAGTTCCAGAAGGGAAATGGCTGGGTCATATGGCAAGTGTATGCTTAACTTAAAAAAAAAAAAAACAAAAAACTGCCAAACTGGTTGCCAGGTGGTGACGCGAGTCGCTTTGCGTCCCCGCGCACCGAGCGCGGGCGTTCCAGGTCCTCCCCGTCCCGGCCGGCACTGGCCGTGGTCAGGCGCGGCAATGTCTGCCACTCCAATGAGCGTTCGGGGGCGTCTCGCTGCGGTTTGGTTTGGTTTTTCCCTAACAACCAGTGACGTCGAGAGCCTTTTCTTGCGTTTATTCACCGTCCGTGTATCTACTGCAGTGACGCGTCCGTTCAAATGTTCCGCTCGATTTTTCGTTGGCTCCCTCATCTTTGAGTTTTGAGAATTCTTTCAGTATCGGGGATGTCTTTGAGCAGATATGTGTTCTGCAAATATTTACTCTGAGTCCATGGCTTGATTTTTCATTCTCTCACTGAGTCTTTTGAAGAGGATAAGTTTTTAATTTCAGTAAAGTCCAATTTGGCTTTGTGAGAATCTCGCTTTTGGTGTCATAGCTAAGAAATAAATGCCGAACTCACAGGCCTTCTGCTATGTTGTCTCCTAGAAGTGTTATAATTTTCAGTTTTACATGTAGTCCTGTGATCTATTTTGAATATATTTTTATATAGTATAAGGTGCAAATGAAGGGTTTTTCGTATGTATAGATGTTCGATTGTTCCCACGTTACTTGTTGAAAAGACGGTGCTTTCTTCATTCGGCTGCCTCTGCACATTTTTTGGAAAATCGGTTGTCCATACGTGTGGGTCCATTTCTGTACCCCGTATGGTGTGCCATCAAGCCACCGTGTAACTATAGGTTAATACGCAGTGTCTGCATTGCTGTAGCTTTACATGTCTTGAAATAACATAACGTTGGTGCTAACCTCTGGGCTCTTGTTTTTGATGATGTTTTTGCCATTCTGGGTTCTTCACATTTCCGTGTGAATTTCAGAAACAGTTTGTCAATCTACCGAAAAAGCCTCTTTGGGCTTCGATTGGATTTGCATTGAACCGATGGATTGATTTGGGGAGAACTGACACCTTAACAATATCGAGTCTTCCGGCAAACGAGGATAGTACGTACCTCCGGGGTGTTCTTTGATTTCTCCTGGCAGTGTTTTGTGGTTTATAGCACACAAATCACGCGTATCTTTTGTCAGATTGATCTCTGCTTCATCCTTTCTGATACTATTGTATATGATGTCTTTATTTCAATTTCTGATTGTTCATCGCTAGTATAGAGAAATATAATTGATTTTTGTATATCGATGTTGTATCCTGTTACCCTAACTAAACTCATTTATCCATGCTGGTAGCTTTTTTTTTGGAGATGTCATAGGATTTACTACTTAGGCATCGTGTTGTCCACAGATCATTTTCCTTCGTTTCCAAACTAGATGCTTCTTATTGTTTTCTTTTCTTGCTTGGTTGCTCTGGCAGAATGTCCAGCACAAACCCTGTCTCATTCCTGGTCTTCGAGAGAAAGCACTTGTCCCCACCACTGAGTATGGTGTTCGCTCAGTGTGACAGACTTGCTCAGTGAGGAAGCTCTTTTGTATTCTTAGTTCGCTGAGAGTTGATTTTTTTTTAATGAATGGATGTTAAACTTTGTCACATACATTTCTGCATCTATCGATATAATAATATGGATTTTCTCTTCTAGTTCTTTAATAGGTGAATTACAGCAATGGGTGTTTGTTAAAACAACCTTGCATTCTGGAGATTAAACCCACTTGGTCACGACGTATTATCCTTTTCATGTATCGTTGGCTTGAATTTGCTAAAATTGTGCTCAGGAGTTTTGTGTCTGTGCATGAGCCATGGTGCATGAGCCATGGTGGTCTGTAGTTGTCCTTCTTGCGATGTTCTGCCTCTTGGGGACCACCGTTCTTTGTCGCCTGATGTCCGGCATCTTGAAAACTGCCGTTTCCTGTGCTTTGTCCTCCTTGGTGGGAGTTCCAAGTGGGTGGGACGCCGGTCCTCGCTCCCCACCTTAGCTGGACGTGATACTCCTCCTGACTCATTCGGCTTCCTTTAAACTTCAAGTTCTTGATTCCCGGCTTCGACAGGTGAAAGACGTCAACTATCCAGACCCCCACTCAGCTCTGGATGGTTCCAGAAGATGCCATCCGCCCAAAACGAGGCCGTGTGTTTCCATCACGTGCCACATCCTTCGGGAGAGCTGGTTTGCCTTGCTGACCGAAACGAACGTGCTCTCCACTGCACGCGCGCTTCCGACACTCCGGGGCCGTCCAGAGGCTCCCAGTGTCCACATTAACACAAGCCGGTTCTTTAGAGAACAATGTGTTCATAGCAGAGTATAATCCTCTGACCTCTTTGGCAATTACTGCTAATACCTGTATGTCTGGTTTAGTAAAGAAGTCTGTAGGCTTCTTGTTCAAAATTGCCAGCCCTCGGTCTGACCCAGCACCCTGCCCTCGGACCCTTGGCCTTCCCCTCCGATTTCTTCCCCCGCTACCATCTCTTCCTGAAGACTCGACAACGGACAAGGGGTACCGTGCACTTTACATTGCGATGCCAGTGTTTTCTCTTGTCCAGGAACAACCATCGAATCCGGAGAAGGAATGACATACTTCGTGCCCATTGTCGACGGCTTTTCTCTGCCCCAGTCAACCATGCAGATGGACACAGCAGGCCAAGATTTAACCTTGTACCTCCTGCAACTGTTATCGGAGAAGGGGCACTCATTGATAAGCACAGGTAGGAAATTGCTGTTCTTGGCTGGACACATCAGTTCCTGGGGTATAATATTCTTTAGGGCTTCTTGAACCTATAGGCCTTAATTTGTAAAGCTAATGCTACTTGACCATCATCCAAGTTCTAAAAATAACCCATCTATGTATAAGGACATTTATTGGATTGATAATTAGGATGATGGTAATTATGATGGTGATGGTGGTGATGATGGTGATTATGGTGGTGACAATGATGATGGTGATGATGATGGTGATGGTGATGATGGTGATGATAGTGATGATAGTGATTATGGTGATGATGGTGATGATGGTGATGGTGGTGATGGTGGTGGTGATGGTGGTGGTGGTGATGGTGGTGGTGGTGATGATGGTGGTATTGATGGTGCTGCTGATGGTGATGGTGGTCATGGTGATGATGATGGTGGTGATGGTGCTGCTGATGGTGATGGTGGTCATGGCGATGATGATGGTGATGATAGTGTTGATGGTCATGGTGGTGATGATGGCGATGGTGGTGATGATGGTGATTATGGTGGTGACAATGATGATGGTGATGATGATGGTGATGGTGGTGATGATGGTGATGGTGGTGATGATGGTGATTATGGTGGTGACAATGATGATGGTGATGATGATGGTGATGGTGGTGATGATGGCGATGGTGGTGATGATGGTGATTATGGTGGTGACAATGATGATGGTGATGATGATGGTGATGGTGGTGATGATGGCGATGGTGGTGATGATGGTGATTATGGTGGTGACAATGATGATGGTGATGATGATGGTGATGGTGGTGATGATGGCGATGGTGGTGATGATGGTGATTATGGTGGTGACAATGATGATGGTGATGATGATGGTGATGGTGGTGATGATGGTGTTGATGGTGATGCTGGTGATGATGGTGATGATGGTGATGATGGTGGTGATGGTGATGATGGTGATGATGATGGTGTGATAGTGTTGATGGTGATGATGGTGATGATGGTGATGATGATGGTGATGATAGTGTTGATGGGGGTGATGGTGATGATGGTGATGATGATGGTGATGATAGTGTTGATGGGGGTGATGGTGATGATGGTGATGATGATGGTGATGATAGTGTTGATGGGGGTGATGGTGATGATGGTGATGATGATGGTGATGATAGTGTTGATGGGGGTGATGGTGATGATGGTGATGATGATGGTGATGATAGTGTTGATGGTGGTGATGGTGATGATGGTGATGATGATGGTGATGATGGTGTTGATGGTGATGATGGTGATGATGGTGCTGCTGATGGTGATGGTGGTCATGGCGATGATGATGGTGATGTTCCCGGGGAAGGAAAAAACCCTTTTGCGAGCTCATCTCATAGTCACATCCTTTCTATGCGGCTCTCTTCCTGTCCTGCACAGGTGACCGGGAATACATCCGGGACATGAAGGAGAAGTGTTGCTATGTGGCTTTGGACTTTGACAAAGAACAAGCGCAAGCCAACTCGCCTTCCTGCACACAGAAGTATCAGCTGCCTGATGGCCGGGAGATCAGCCTTGGGCCGGAAAGGTTCTTCTGCCCCGAAGCGCTTTTCCACACGGACCTCATAGGTGAGCCATGGGGTGGACTGAGGTGAGTCACATCCAGACAGATGGCTGGGCTCGCTGTCAGGAGAAGCCAGGGCGCTGGGAGGGGATTCTACTTTGAGCAGCATGTGGTAGCAATTTCAAAAGTTCCTCCTTATTAAGCACCTGCTATGTGCCTGTCACTTTGCTGCCCATTGTATGTGGGTTGTATCCTATAATCTTACCCCAAAACTCATATCATCCTGTTTTACAGATGAGGAAACCCATTAGGGAGGGTTAGGTGTTCGTCAAATGTGATTAGGTGGTGTGCTGGACTGCAAGTTGTTCATTATGTGTTATTTACACATCATTTATAAAATAATTTGAAAAATAGAAATTAAGGCAATTTGAGCATAAATGCAAAAAACAACAGATTTGGAGGTAGTTTCAAAGATGTGGCGAGTCTGCGGCCATGCCACCTTCAACAAGCCTGATCCCGTCTGATCTCAGAAGCTAAGCAGGGTTGGGCCTGGTTAGTATTTGGATGGGAGACCACCTAGGAAGACCAGGTGCTATAGGCATAAAAAATAAAAAAAATAAGGGATCGTAAGCTGACAAGGTCCTTGCAACCTGTGAGGTCAACCAACGGTTGCCTCACCTAAAAAAAAAAAAAAGAAAAGCGACGGTCCTAGAAATTTTAAACAAGCATCGAGTTGATTCCATCGTCTGGTAGGCACGGCAGAACAGGGGGAAATGGGCGAATTATAAAATTCCCGTGGATTGGGAAAATGAGGTGTGCAGGGTTGTCGGGGAACGCTAACTTTTCCCTGGAATCAAAATTGTAAAATAATCAGTTACACCCATAAGGGACGGAAAAAAGTGACGGTCCTAGAAATTTTAAACAAGCATCGAGTTGATTCCATCGTCTGGTAGGCACGGCAGAACAGGGGGAAATGGGCGAATTATAAAATTCCCGTGGATTGGGAAAATGAGGTGTGCAGGGTTGTCGGGGAACGCTAACTTTTCCCTGGAATCAAAATTGTAAAATAATCAGTTACACCCATAAGGGACGGGGGGTGGGGACGGTCAAAGGGACCTGACCACTCCCCCAGGGCTAGCACCTAGTAAGGACATGGCGTCTCTGCCTAGCGTAAGGGAGCTGGGCTCACCTGTTTCCCTATCAGATTGTGGTGGATGAAGGCTTAAAACCAGGCACGGGCCCCCCGGATATTAAGCGGATCCCTAAAGATGTCGCCAGGTGAAGTTCTTCACCCACGACATAGCAGGGTGTGGGCGGGTGGATGACGGTGGGAACAACCGTGACCGTGACAATGGCAGAGCATTCGCTGCTCACGCTCATTGGGCCAGGTGTGTCCTCAAGGGTTTCTGTGAATTCACCTTGCGGTCCTTATTCCAAGGTTAGCAGGCAGGAAATATGACAGATGGGAAAAATTAGGGACCGACAGGCACAACCTACCCCGCTCAGAATCTCCCAATGTTGACAGACAGGAATACAACTCACTTATTTTTTAAGGGCTGTTCTCATTATACTGGAGCTTATTTTTGGGGAGCAAAGGATGAGCCAGGAAAGGATGTTAGCGAGACTTACGGTGGGGGTCATTTTGCAATATATACAAATATCAAATCATGGGGTTGTACATCCAATATGACCATAACATCAATCACACCTCGATCAAGAATAAATAGAGAAAAATAAAAAAATAAGAGACAGGAATAATCAGTATAATTTTTCAAAGCCCACGTGAGCAAAGATACCACCTTAAAGAGATCCTTTTGTCAAGTAATTGATAGGAAGCCATTAAAAACTTAACAGTTGCCAGAACATTTGAATGTAAGTTCTCTCGGACGGAAGAGGAGAATTAATACTTTTTATGATTCAGTCATTAGCGGCTGAGTCCCGCGGCCGTGCCTGGTCTGTTGACACCCACGCGGGCCTGGAGGTGGGGGTGGATCCAGAGCTGTCTGAGACTCTGGGGACCCTGGGCGGGTGGCCGGCCGAGCCTCGGGCCCCCAGCTCTCGCCCCCTGTGCCCGCCCTGACAGGGAGAAACAGCCTGGGCATCCACATGACGGCCTTCCGCAGCATCAGCTCCTGCAACCCCGCCCTCTGGAAGGTTCTCTTCCGGCACGTGCTCTTGTCCGGGGGCACCGGCTCCTGCTTGGGCTTGAGGTTCCGGATGCAGAGAGAACTCTCCGCCCTAGTGTCCCCTCTGATCAACGTGAAGGTGCGTCCTCACAGCCGCGGGCAGGGGCTGTCCGGGTCGTCTCGTGGATGTTTCTGGTGGTCTCTGAGGGGCCGGGAACAGGCCAGGTGCTGGGGGAACATCGGAAAACAACAGCGACACAGTCCTGGAGCTCGCCTGCCAGTGCGGGGGAGGCGACAGCGCAGGTCCCGAGCCGCAGACGCCCTGCTGCGTTGGAAGGGGCTAGAGACGGGGAAGCAGGTCGGGGGGGCGGGGCTGAGTTTTGGGTTGGGGGTCTCCTGGGAAAGGTGGTGGGAGTGAACAGCCCTGCGGCAGCCCAGAGGTCCGCTTCCCAGGGGAGCGCTGGGAAGGCTGGCTGGGCTGACAGAGGGAGAAGGGGGGACCCCATCAGGGGGGGCCCGTAAGGCTTTTCCCCTGAGAGGAACTGGAAGCCGCCAGGAGGTCTGAGCAGCGCAATGACCGCGCCTGGCCGGGCCGCGGAGAAGGGCTCGCGCTGTGGGCCGGCAGTGGAGCTATGACTCGGGACACGTGCTGGCGGCACAGGCCAGCAGGGCAGAGGCGGGGGGTGTGACCGCGCCTGGCCGGGCCGCGGAGAAGGGCTTGGGCTGTGGGCCGAGCTATGACTCGGGACATGTGCTGGCGGCACGGGCCAGCAAGGCAGAGGCGGGGGGTGGTCCAACTCCAGACGCACGCCGAAGTCCAAGGCCACAGGGTTTGCAGGGAGGTCGACGCAGGCTGTGAGGGACAGGAGCCGGGAACGTCTCCCGGGGCAGCAGCCTGGACAACCGGGGACATGCAGGGGCCGCCGTGTGATGGGCCAGATGGCGGGAGGAGCAGCTTCGGGGACACGTGGGGCGGTCCTTTGGACACGTGCAGTTTGAGGGGCCTCCGATCCGTCAGAGAACAGATGTCGGGGTGGGCTGGGCGTGCCAGGCTGCTGGGGCACATCGTGGAGCCGTCGTACAGACAGACGGGGCCCAGGGAGGGGTGTGGACAGATGGGGACGGGGACTGAACTTGAGCGATCCCGCAGAGGGAGGGACGGGGAGGCTGAGTTTCGGGGTGGGGACGCAGAAGGCTGTCCTCCTGGCTCGGTCCCCGGAAGGCCTGGTGTTCGGTTTTGTGTGTTTGTTTAGCTAAGATGCAGGCGGGTAGGTGACCCGTCCAGGGTGACAGCCCGTCGATGGCAGAAAAGACGTAACGGAGGACCCGGGAGTCTGGCGACGACTCTCCTGCCTGCGTGAGGCCTGACCCTGAACATGCTCCCATCCCCGTCCCCCCACCACGTGCCTTTATTTTCTTCCCTTAAAAATTCAGCAACATTTCTTCTCTTAACCAATACCATGCTGAGCACGCTGGTGCCACAGAGCCAGCACGGGCCCGCCCTGTCCCCACCTCCGCCCCCTCCCCGGGCGTCCTGGACCCTCGGCCCAGTCCCTGACTGCAGCCACGCTGTCTGTCCTGTTTTAGAGAAACAAACGCATTCTATTGTGATACCCCAAGCGCACTGAGGACCGTCGGTGAGCAGGCCAGGACAACTGTCTGACCTCGAGCCAGTGAACCTGACCCTCCGAGGTCAGCGGTCCTGCCTGGCAGAGGGGCGTGGCCATGTTTGCCGCCCCCCAGCCCAGAGCAGCCCCCACCCGGACGGGAGGAGGGCGCACTCGACAGACAGACATCAGACAGACAGACATCAAGCAGGAGGGAGGACGTCTCCAGAGACGCTGACGCCCACGTGCAGAAGGGATTTCTCTGGGGGATTAGAGAGAGCACTTGCGGGTTTTTTTTGTTTTTGCCTTTTTTGTTTATCAGCATTTTCTAATTTTTCTAAAAATACCTATGGCTTACGCATGGATGCTATAGAAGTGTACACGCATCACGGATTTTGAAGTGAATCTGAGGAAGCTACCGGCGGAAGGATGCGGACCCCTAAACATCTTTAAAGGGCAGAGGAAGCTGTATTTTTCGGGGGAAGAAATGACTGCCCAGGAAGTTCCTTCAGGAGCTGATACTTTGTGTCCCCAATTTACTGTAGTGTTTTGACTCTGCTTTGTGTCCCCAATTTAGTGTAGTGTTTTGATTCTGGTTTCTCTCCCTCTCTTGCCCACCCCCTCCCTTCCCCCACCGCACCTCTTTGACCCCACGCAGGTGTCTACCTGTCCCTATTCCGTATACGGCGCCTGGGTCGGTGGCTCCATCCTGTGCTCACTCTCTACCTTCAAGGACATGTGGGTCACCAGCATCGAGTATAAGGACTGTGGTTCCTCCGTCATCGGCAGGAGATCCTTCTGATTTGTGGCTTTCTGGACCCTGTCACCTGTCCCATCAGCGTCACCTGTAGGCTGAGCCTCGGCTGGCTGCACTAATCAGCGTTCAGAACCAACTCACACGTGAGGCGGGCCCTTCCTCTCCCAGGCTTCAATAAAAAGAGTCATCAAGGCTTCAGCATCCTGGGGAATGCTCCTGGGGCCCTCATCACATTCATGCACAGTAATCATGGGGAGGGCATCTCCGGGGTGCCTGTGTGCATCGGTCAGGATGGCTGAGCGGTGCTGCAGTAACAAACACCCCCCTAAATCTCAGCACCATAAAACCAGTCTCCTCCTCACCCATGCTGCTTGTCCATCGAAGGTCAGTGGAGCTCCCCACTGCATCGTCCTCACCCCAGAATCCAGCCGACGGAGCGACACCATCTGAAACACTATCATTCGTTGTGGGTGAGCTCGGAGTGGCCTGTCCTTGGCGACAACGTGCCCCAGCCCAGAAGGGGCCCGCGGCACATTGGCTCACAACTAAGTGGTCGGAACAAGCCACGTGGCCCCCGACAACATGAGGGGCCGGGAAGGGCCGTCCTGCCTTACAGGAAGAAGGGCACAGACACTCTGGTCCCACGGGGCACAGTTAGGATGCTCCCAGAGCACACACGACCGAGGGGCGTTTCGTTCCTTCAACAATTTAATACTCAAGACGTGGCAATTTCATGAGGCAGCAGCGGGAGCTACGAGAAGTTCATCACCTTGACCGAGGCCATGGAGACGGTGACAGGGAGTGTAAATCTGCCGGTGACGCCGCAGGGCTGCCAGAAGCTGCGCACAGAGAGGACACAGGAGCGAAGTGACCGCGGACAGCAGAGCCGCCGCCCCCGGGCTGGAGACACAGGTTTGCAGTGAGGAGGGGCGGAGCTGTGGGAGAGCCCCATAGGCACGCGGCTCATGCGGGTTCGGGCCGCCGAAGGCAAAGAGCAAATTCCACCAGCGACATAGGCAGGGTGACAGACCCAGGATGCTACTTAAATTTGAATTTGGTTTGGTTTTTTAATATTGATTTACGTATTTATTTATTTAATTTTTTTTAGGCGAGGCAACCCTTGGTCAACCTCACAGATTGCGAGGACCTTGTCAGCTTACAATCCCTTATTATTTTATTTATTTTTTATGCCTACGGCACCTGGTCTTCCTCGGTGGTCTCCCATCCCAGTACTAACCAGGCCCGACCCTGCTTAGCTTCCGAGATCGGACGGGATCAGGCACATTCAGGGTTGCATGGCCGTAGACAAATTCGAATTTAGAAATACAACCAATAACTTTAGACTGAGTATGCCCCAACCATTACACACGCTTTGATTTCCTAAATCTAGCCACTCTGTGTAAAAGAAAGAGGCTCCGCCGAGCACTGGAATTCTCACCCGCAGAGCTGTCACTAGAAAATAAGGGGACGAATCCCACGAGGGTGAGAGGAAGAGTTATATTGAACCAAAAATCCACTACCTAGTCCAACTGGGGTTGAAATGGTGGGAAAAAATACCTTGGCGACAGGCAAAGGCTCAGAAAACTTCCCACCAACAGGCCCTCTCTCAAACCGCAAATCTAAGATTCTGAGATGGAACTCAAACAAGCCGAGAAAAAGAAACAGCCACGATAAAGACGCTAACCCAGCTTAGAGTTTAACGCAGCATTCGTAAAATTAAGAGCAAAAAGTCTCAGACGATCTCAGAAAGTGGGGCGGCTTAGAGGTAGGAAGGAGAATGTGGAATTATGGAAAATACATCAATTAAGTCTAGATAGGAAAGAAGCAGCTTAGAGGTGTGTGTTTCTAGTTCAGGGGATAGTAAGCCACTGCACCCTGCGGACTGAGTCTCAGTGTTCTAGGTCTGTTTACTCCCCCTGATGTGAAGTGCTGGCCGGTGCTTCTTCCCTGCCCCGGGAAATTCACGCAGGGGAAATTCACGCAGGGGACCGGCACCTTGTAGCAGCCACTGCTACATTTCAAAGTAATATTCCTATCGTGGATCGAACACCGCTGCAGATGTCAAACATTGGTTTGCTTGCTTTTTCAGTCATCAGATGTTTCTAATTTTCTCTGGCCTGAAAACAAGTATCAGTCTTTCCGTAAATTTGGAAACGTTAGTGAAACTTGCTTGCCATTGTGTTTCTGGCACATAAGATAGTCCAATGTGACCCTCTCACCCGCTGCTCTCAGGCTCAAACCACACAGACACCCCTCCCCTTGATAGTGAACTTGGCTGGAGGCGATGGCAGGTGGACGTATAGATCAGGGTAGCAGACCTTAGTGTAATGATGCCTTCGGTACCTGTACGTGGGTGATGGGATCCGGAGGGGAGCTAAGGCAGGGGAGCCTGTGCCCTTTGTAATTTTCTCAATTTTGCACCATATGCATGAAACTTAAAAAAAAAAAAAATTCTTTTGAGTAACTTAAGGGTAAACAATGGGAAAATAGCAACAAATGGGACATATGTAACATGAAATAACACAAGCAAGTTGAAGATGAGGTGATGAATATGCCAGAAAAAAAATGAGAACAAAATAAGCAGATGTCAAAGAAATAAAATTCAAGCAAAATCATTAGAAGAATCAGAGTTATTTCATTGACACAGGCGAGGGGCGGCCAGCAGAGCGTGAGTCGCGCGTCGCTCACCTTTGGGGTGCACATTGCTCCAAAGAACATCAGGCAAAGGGAACGAGGTCTAGAACGTGCCGAGAACACCTTCAAACCGGGACGAATGTGCCCCAAACCGAACTCCTCATTTCTGCCCCAGTAAATGACAGCGCCATTCACCGGGGCGTCAGCCACCATCCTGAAAATCACCCCGACTTCTCTCTCATACATGAAGCATCAGCACGTGAGTCGACATGCCCTCCGTCGGGGGTCGGCAAACCTTCTGAAAAGGGCCGATGGTAAACCCTGTCAGCTTTGCGGGCAGCACGGTCTCTGTCACAGCTGGTCAGCTCTGCCCCGTGGAGCCACAGCTGCCTCAGACAACGGGTAAATCAACCCGTTTTCCTTACCTCCCGTGATGGGTATTCCCTTCTGACTTTCTACCTCGCGTTTTTGTTTGTTTGTTTGTTTTTACTGCCTTTCTGAGACTTCTTTTCTTCCTACCTGCCTTCTATCGGACTGACTGCATTTTCTTTACTCCTCTGCAGAGCTGGAAGTAGACATGTTTTTTCTTTTAGAGGTCACCTTAAAATCTCAACAGGCTCACTCGACTGACAAAGTCTGAGATTACCTATCACCACCACCGATCCGGGCACCGCGGCCTGCTTTAGTTACAATCCCTCCTCCCAGTCTGTATTTCTGTTTCGTGTTTTCATTTGACGTGGTTTCGTCCCTTTAAAAGTCCTTTCAGCCAGGGTCTGCTGGTGATAAACTCTTGTCTATCCGAGAATGTCCATGTTCTGCCCACACTTTAAAAAGATTATGTTGAGGTATATATAATTCACGTACCATAAAATTCACCCACTCGAAGCGTGTAATTCAGTGTTTTATGACGTATTCAGAGGTGTGCATCCGTCACCGCGATCTAAGCTTGGAACGTGTTCATCCCCCCAGAAGGAAACCCCAACCCCCTCAGCCGCCACCCCCATCGGCCCCGCCCCCAGCCCCGGCCACCACCTTTCTGCTCTCTGTCTCCGTGGGTGTCCCTATTCTGGACGTGTCCTGTGCATGGAATCACGCAGGACGTGGTCTTTTGCATCTGGCTTGTTCTACATCCTGGAATGTTTTCGGGTGCTTCCCTGTTGGAGCATGAATCAGTAACTCATTCTTCTTCATGGCCGAATAATATTCCAGCGTACGGCTGGACCGTCGTGTGTATTCACGGACCCTGGGTGCAGACACGTAGGCACCACCCACGTGCGGACCTCCACTAGCCGCTCTCTCCCTGCTGGGCTCCCTTTCCCAGGGGAGCTGCTGGGCAGGGAGCCTTTGATGGGGGAGGGGGAGGGGAGCAAGAGCTTATGAAAGTCCCACCTGCCCATACCATAGCCAGGCCCGAACCACAGCAGCAACACTGACCAAGGACAAGATGGCATTAGCCCTGGGTCATCGGGGAAGGAGCTGGCCCTTCGCCCCACCCACCCTGGAGCACCCAGTTCAGCAGCGAGGGCGGGGGGTGCGGTACACAGGCCTTTCATTTCCCGACCCTCAGCTGCTCCGCTGGCAGACGTCGGGGCCGGCACGGTGGGAGGGGGGCATTGCGGGAGAAAGCCCTAGAACCAAATATGACAGTGACCCTGTAAAGCAAACAGGACCAAGTCGTCGAAAAAATATCGAGGCTGCCCCGGCCCGAACGAGGCGCACCTTGCTTTCGGCCAGCCCCGGGCCAGGCGCCTCCGTGGGTCGCCGCCCTCGGCCTGCACTGTGACCACGGACGAAGGCGCTGCTTTGATGTCCCCACATCAGAGAACTCGAAATGTCGCACAGCTGAGGCTTCAGCCCGCCTGGGTCGCGTGCGCAGTGGAGACGGGTCTGAGTGGCGTTAGCGTGGGAAGGAGCAGGGTCTGACAGCGTGGTCAGAGGCAATTACTGGACAAGCAATCCATATTTATGTCCCACTGAGTCGAGAGCCCTCAATAATGGGTCCCCCCCACCCCCCACACACGCACCAGGGAGCGGGCTCGCCCAGGCTCTCTGACGGTTCAATTACCAGCATTCAGCAAGTGATTTACCTCGCCGCTTGAGAGTGAGTTTGTCCTATTAAATAAACAACAATTAGTGATCCTAATAGTCTATTATGACTTAATTAGATGCTGAAATTGCTTTGTTAAAAGCCAATCGGGGTGAGTAAGGGTAGACTCAGCCTCTAGATGGCTCCTGGGGACTTGGTCCTCAGCCTGGCCTGGGTGCCCAAGATCAGCCCAGGCTGTGCCAGTCCAGGGGCAGCTCAGACCCCGGGGCAGTCATTCCCCAGGCCAGCCTGACTTCAAGCCTCAGATTATGGGGCTCGTTATGCTCCAGGCCGGGCAGCAGCAGTGGAGGAGGGGGCGGGAACG